TTACATTTTATAGTCTTTGTTGTATTTTAAAGATGTTTTGTTTGTAGTTATTTGAAAAAACATGTTTCAAAAATTTCTTTAATTCCTCTCGGAAATTCTTTTTAGTTAAAGTTGTTTGTTTACATTTTAAAGATGCTATCTTATAAATTATCAGAAACTAAAGTAATGATGCTCCTACCCCAGTGGATATCAGATGAAATCAATGGTTTTCTTACTGAAACCTTCAATATACCTTTTTTGAAGACACAAATCAAGAAGATGTTAAGGGTTAAGAAAAATTCTGCTTAACAAGTCAGTTTCAGAAGGTCATGGTCATCAGCTATATCTCTGGTTCCAATGTTTCTAAAAAAAAAACAGATTATCTGAAAAATATGCAAACAAATTGAACAATTGTTGTTTTGGTCAAGAACCAGCTAATAGATTGTCATGAGCTAAGGTTGTTATCCATGAAAAAGGTATTTGTTTCTTTCTTTCTGATACAAAACATTGATATATATGACATATATATAGCTCTGTTTCATTTTAACATTTGCACTTTCTGGTTGAATCAACTAAACTCAGTTGAAAGTTTATGCTTCAAACTGTAAATTTAATAGTGATAAAAATAGAGGTATAACAGGGTGTTACCTTTTAAATGCCACAATCCAGATTTTAATTAAAGTAGCAGGCCCTCCTATCAATATGAATCAATCCCTTTTAATCATGCTTATTATACATTCTTTCTCTACATATTGTTATATTGTAAGATTTTATCACAGTGAGGTAAAAAGACAGGTATAATGGAGTTTCTTTATAATTTCACAAACAGAGTTGAGATAAGGTAGTCTACTGATTTACCATCATTGTAGAACAATAATTTGATCATAAGATAAACATACATGTGTACAGGTCAAGAAAAATCTATCATTTATCATAAATGAAATCACTTTTATGGAACTACCACTCCCTCCTTTAAATTTAGCATTATTTCAATTTAAATACAGGAATCTTTATCAAGCATCATATCAGGAGTCAGATGGTGCCAAATGAAAGAAAACTGAGTGTGAAACAAACTTGTGTTAAATTTAGTTTGTTTTCAAAGAAATACCTTGATGAGTGAACATCAGTTACTGTCAGAAAGTTCAGGATCAGGTGGTGCCAAATCAAAGAAAACCAAATGATTTGAAGATTGTTTTGGCCAGTTTTTATTTTGTTTACATTATTTTAGTGAACTTTTAGGTGAATCATCATTTTTAAGATGTAAAGAAAACCAGAAACAGGGATGTTTATCTGTTAATATATGCCAGCTATTTCTTAGTTGGCTTGTCTTCATGCCATTTTCTCTATTGGCAATCTACCTTCTGGTGAATTAAGTAATAGGTAAATAGATATGTTTCAAATCAGAATCTATGTAGTGAAAAGTACGACAGCCTTGATATGTCTTGATATTAGAAAGGTAGCTAGAAATGTCGAATTCCGACTTTACTCAATTCCAAGTTCAAATAGACACAGAACCACATTATTTGGTGAAGAAATCGCGGCTGTGTATACTCCTAAAAAATACTCTGTGTAATTCTGATTTTGAACTCAGTTGTCAATGGCGTTTCACTGTATATCGGGAAGGTGGTATGTGTTCTATCGTTTTGGTGATGATATTAAATTAGCGTAAAAGAGCTCTTTTGTGTTTGAAGAGTGGATAAGGACATAGTCTGTTAAACACTTCACTTGGTCTGTTTTATTTCAAGTAGAATCGACATTGTTTTTTACCTAAAACTGTTTGTTTGTGTGAAATTTTGTGAAACAATCGAAAATGTGTTTTGGTTACAAGATGAAATTTGTAAGTGTTTTAGAATAAGTTAGTAATTTGGAATTGTTTTGTGTTCATGTTATTTCGTTGAATTATAACGAAGTCTTTGTTTTATAAACTGTGAAAATCTTTTTTGGATAAAAACTTTTTGTATTTAATGAAGTATTTTTTTAGTAGAAGATTGAATCTAGTAGTTGATAAATTTTATTTTGATGTTTTTTATGTTTTTCTGGAACATAAAATAATGAAATATAATAGTTGAGTTCTCATAATGCATTCAGCTTTATTTGAGGAGCAAACAAATTTGTTAAATGTATTAGGTATAAAAAAAAAATGGCCAGCATTTGCTGGTAGTAGATACTGAGGTAATATAGTACTATTATAGAGAAGATATTAAGAATTCTATTGACTGTATGATAAATTAAACATGTTTGACATTTGGTATGGAGTCTCTAGAGTCATATTCGGGTATTCAAATTCACATGATATTCACTGGCATTTCAATTTTTCTCAAGATCTGTATTTTGTAATGGTTAATATTTATTGAAGTTGTCATAGAACTTGACATATTGCATTTGTATAAATGATCAGTTTAAGATGTTAATAGTGATTTTATCAAAGTGTTACTCTTTGATGCTACGATTGTGTCAAAATATGAACCATATATAGGACACCTTTAGATATTAACCAAGTCTCTGAATCAGGACTGGTGCTTTAAAGTTTTCATTAGGAATGAAGTACTTCTGTGAATATGTTGAAAATTTTAAAAAAACTGGCTGATAAACTAATATTTTATCATGTTCCATGTTGATGTACCCAATCCTTTCAGAACTATATCAGGCAATAGGTACCATCATTTGAGAAATGTGTACTAATATAAATTACTTGGACAATCCAACTGTATGTTGAGAAATATATTAGTGGAATTGACACTGTGGGAGTATTATCTCTTCAAGACTTGCAGGAATTATTGAGTGATTTCCTTATCTCCTGTGTTAATGTCAACCAGCACTCAACTGGAATCTTTCAATTGATAACAGAATTCATAATAACATTTATTGCATTTGGTATTCCCTTTGAAAGGATAGCGATGTTCAAATTCAACTTGATTCTTTCAATCATTTAGTATTAGAAGAACATCTTGAACTTTTTTTTAGTAACAGTGCTGTGAGTTCTCTGAAATTTATAGTGGGATCAACAACAAAGACTCTTCTTTGGGTGATAAAAATGGTTGTGGATAATTGAATTTGGAAGTTGATTTTGGGACACTGTTGTTGATTTGTCTGCATTGGCTTAGATTTTTGTGCTCAGAATTGTTTTTCATTGATGTTGGTAGTAAAATGTAAAAAAATAAGACTGTTTAGCTAGAACAAAAATTCATTTGCTCCATAATAACTGCATTTTTCAAAGTGTTTATTGCATTTAGAAGTCCCTTCAATTGCATTAGTGTAAAATCAATAGTTTGTGTAGAGCAATTTATAATGTTGTTGTGAAGAAAGTGATATATGGCTTGTTGTAACAAAGAGGCTATGTTCCTCACACTCACAGCTCATGTCTTTTAATGTTTTTGCCTCAAGGAATCATATCAATTGAATATAAATACCTTTGTATACTGGACTATCATCATGCTAACGTGAAGGAAAGATATTATGTTTCTTATGTCTGTAAAGTTCAATTCACTCTAAAGGTTTGAATCATTCTAGGCATTTAGAGGTAGAAAACAACCTCTACTTGTAGGACAGTTATATCTGATATTTAGCTATTTGAAAGAGATAGATGAGTATTGCTTGTTTTCTGGTGAATGTTATCTCAATGGTGAACTGAATCAAACAAAACAAAACAAAACAGAACTGACCAGGGTAGGATGGTAAATAAGCCAAATCAAGAGCCTTGGAAAAGTCAGAGAACAACACAGAGACTTTCAGAGCAGATGTACCTGTAAGGCTGATATCTGGTTATTTAAAAGATAAACAGTTTTCTAGTTTTCTGTTGAATATTATCTTAATCATTTGATATTTCTTCATTTGTTCATGTTTTTCTTCCTCAGAGATAGTATGTTAATCTACAATGATTTGATATAGAATTTCTAATGTTTAGTTTGGTTTATGTTGCCAAAAGTTCTTAGATAAATGATGGTTGTTCTTAATCAAAATCCTTTATTAAGAAACATACCCACTACAATAAAACTGACCAAAATGTGTTTTATAATATAAACAATATAAATTTGGAAATCTTGATAATAAAAAGATTGATTGTATGAGTAGTTTGAGTTGAAATATTAATCTAATATCTTTTCTACAAGTAGAGGTTGTAGTTTGTGATTCATTTTAAGATAAAATTAGACTTGAGCTAGAGAAATGAAATCCAATATTTCTTCTCTCCTGGAGAAAATCAGTTTTTTTTATAGATTCTGTCCTTTGTGATAAATTATATGTGAATGTATTCAGACATGGTGACAAGTGAAATATTCACATTTCCAATAATACTTGATACTTGTATAAAAAAAATAATGATCAAGAGTTAGTGCATTGGTGCTTGGTGTGTTAACACAATAGTTTAAAACATTCAGGTTGGCTTGGATTTACATTTAAGATTGTAGTCCACTGTTGTACTATTGTCCTCTTACACTCATGGATTTGAATATCAATTGAAATTACACCTGTGTATCATCTTTAAAGTTTGCTTACTGTGGTTTTCTTGAAAAGGTTTAATTCTTAAGTTTTAGTTCTTAAGTTTATGGTGTTGAATCAAGGAGCAATTTGATGATTTTTACACAGTTTAAGTGTAATATTTTAAAGATTAAGTCATCTTTTTGTTTCGTTGTAGTAGAAGGTGATGGACCAAGTTACAGAATAGACTTTCATTTTAACATTGTATAACTATGATACTAGTATGTAATTCGTGATAAAGAACAAAATATTGTAAGGTTACAAACATGATTGTGTGGAAAAAACTGGATGAATTACAATATGTTATTCAAATTGAAACTGACAATCTTTTATGCCAATAGAAATTCTTATTTTAATAACTGGAAGTGTCAAAATTGTTGGTGTGAATGAAAGAAATTGAATCCAAGGAATTCATATACTGATACATGTTGATTAATAACTGTTATATAAATGTCATACTCTGATTACAAATATCATATTAGTGATAGTCAACAGAAATAGTGTTCAGAACAGAATAATAGTGGATTATCTTATCAACCATCAAAATGTTTCATAAATTTCACTACACTAAGAAATATGATGTGGGTAAGTAACTAGCTGCATCTTTTAGCATGTTATTTTCATGTTCTGCAACTTAAAGACATTGAATTATGATACTAAATACTACAATGTATCATACCACAGAGAACATACCACCTGCACTCTTCAGATTGAAAACCATGCCTTGATTTCATGTAGTGTCATGTAATTATATCATTGAGATGAAGAAGATATCAAGATTTTTTGTCTGCTTGAGACATTGCGTTTTTACATATCTTACATTATAAACATTACTGGTTGTTTATATCTAAAATTCCTACCACTAGTCTACTATTAGGTTCTGATGATTACCAGATCTTTCTTCTTAAATAAATCAGTCATTCATTCATCCATCCATTCTTTCTGTCATTCATTTATTTATTGATACATATGTATCATTCAGGAATTTATTTATTCAAATATTGTGTTTATCATTCAATCATTATTCATTTTATGCACCTCGAAATTATACCTTACTGATTTTTCAATCCAGTTTATCAAGTGATATAGAGACAATGAACAGAATATGCAGAAAAAAAATTGGAAGTAATACTTCATTCATGTCATATCTAAAAGATACATGAATGTATTTGTGTCAATCTGATTCAAATCGCAGACATAAGCAGAGAATTATTGACCATGTTCATAATTTCCAAATTTAGACTACTCTGTGTTGTGCTTGTTGTGAACCTCAAGCCTACAAAACCTATTGGTTGCATGTCAGTTACATTAGACACTTATAACCACTATTCTTTATTGACTACCATATACAACTGATGATTTCTATAGTGTGAGACTTTGAGGGCACCTCAACAAATGGGAATTCATTTGGTTTTGAATCAATCTAAAATAAGGGAATCTTTGTGGTTCAATAGCCTCTGCAGATGACTGATAATGATCTGTGAATCAGAAGTCCTGACCAACACGTATGAAGAGATAACAGGAGAGTAAAGGTTAACCATCATTTTAAATTGACAGTAAAAAAGGTCTAATATATCACATTACATGAATTATCATAGTAAAAAGGTTATACTAGATTAGTGAGAATATACTAAATAAATATTATATAGGAGGGTGAATATATTGATAGATGAGCATTACAGGTGTAATGAAATTAACAAAACTATACCCCAGATGAACCAATTCTGACCAAATCTTTAATATCTTACTTAAAATTCATTTCAAGATATTGTTACATGCTGATCACAAAATATGGCCATCTTCATAACATAATTTCTTTGAGATTATTCTTTTAAACATGACTGATAAATACAAGAAAACAACAATCTATTCACATACTTCACACTTACAATTTACAAAAGTATTTCAGCAATGTTACAAAGAATCCATTTCTATTGAATTTAATTCTTTGTTGCATCATGATTTAACTTAGTTCACCTAGGAAAGGAGAATAATTACTTCTAACAATTTTACAGCATTGTGGTCTTTATTTACTGAAATCAAATCAAAATTCAATAGATTGGACTCTTAATTTAGTGAATATTTGATTGGGTTAAATTTTTACTTTCAATTTTCATTTGAAATTGGAATCAAAATGTTGTCTTAAAACAAACAAATTTTAGAGAAATGATCATGGTGGACTTAAACAGAGTTTGTTGAAATACAGATCTTATTTATCAATTATAATAATGATTACATTATTTATCATTTCAGCCTCTGCAGAGAGTTTTTTCCGGACCCGGACCCTGGAGATACGTAATGAAAGTCTTCCAGGTAAGATATATTTACACTTTATTGGTAGTTTCTTGGGCAGAGATTTAGGTGCTCTTGAGATAATCCAACAATGGATGGTTCAATTTGCCACTAAATGTTTTAAAGGGAATATTTATTGGACATCAAACAGAGTTACAGAGGCCCTTTCAGAGTGTTTGCATTAAATATTAAACAGCAGTTGGTATAGGAAAAGAGAATTTGCTAAAGCCTTAGTTATAAGGTATAATGTCATGTTACCTGAAAAACTGGAAAATGTTTAAAATTGAAATAAAGAAGTGACATGTAGGAATTGTTGCTTAATTAAGTAGCTGAAATCTACTGTCCGGTGCATGAATGAACTTGTAAAACTATTTGTAGATTTTTTTTTTACATGATATTTGCACCATTTTTGCCTGAGGCAATGATATTTTGCATGCAATTAAGGAATTTTTGTCAGTACAACTAACTCTGTTGAAGTAATAATAGTTGTTTACTGACTAGAGTTATAAAATATCAGTTATTACCTATTACTTATTACTAATTATTATCTATTACTGGCTATTATATTATCAGAATTATATTTCATGACCGCACCTCTGGTTGTTACTGCATTTACCGGTCATATTATAAGATTGTGAAAACTAAATTATTTGAAAGTTTTCTCATATTTTCCATATGAATTGCCTCAATAAACTATAGGATTTTAATTTCAACCTATAGTCTGGATAGAATTATCACTCTAAATTCCAAACTATCCATAAGTCTGACTTGAACAGAAACAAAATGTACTTGTTTTTCAGATTTAAGTAAAAGTTGTGATTTTGATACTCCAGGCAGAAGTCATATGTTCTTCAAGAAAATGTTCAGTAAGTTTCTATTTATATTAGTTTATATAATACAACCAATATATATATTAATCCCACACACACACACATAGAAATACAACTCAGACGTTCAGAACATTTCACAGAAGATAACAACAATTTCATTCTGACAATATTCAATATAGAATTTTAAAAACAGAACACAAGAATATAACTGCAGCAATTTTCATAATAATCACACTACACTTGTCCTCTTAATATTTTAATATCTAGATAATTTATTCAAAGATCTGTTTACATTAAAATACAAGCTTTGTAAAAACCAGTAATATATACCAAATTGATGTCTACCTTTAATATAAATTATGGTGTAAGATGTGTCCTCACTTACTTCAACTTTGTTGAGAGTTTTAATAAAAAAAAATTGCTCTCCTTACATTTTGAGTACAGCAATTTAAGTTTATTCTACTCTACCGCTAAAATTTACAAAAATATTTGATTACATTCACTTGAGTTGCTGTTAATATAAAATATACTCCTTGCATGTCATCAATTATATTTAAGTACCTGGTAGAATATTTCAAATGGATGGAAATGGGATTTTTCAAGTAATCTTTACATCTTGTATTTAAATGATTTAATTTGGATACATACACTTAAAACTAAATATGACATGCTTTTTATTTATTTCGTCCAACTTGACTGAGTGTAAAATCTGATAATATATTTGAAGGGATAGAACGAGTTGTAAATATGCACCTTTTATTTGTGAAAGTGTAAGGTTTAGTTACATGAACTCCTTATAAATTGAAAATCTCATTAGATTAGTTCATGATTATATATAAACATCCCAGTACATACAGAAATGACATCATGCATGAGATGATTTTATTAAAAAAAAATATTTATACGTCTTGAATACAGCATGTAGATTGTATTGATATTGAAATATATTACACCCTGTGTATAATACAATTTACATTTGAAGTAGATGTCATATCAGTTAGCAAGATCTTTCCTATAAAAAATTTTACCAAGATTATACAGATTTTACTGGGTGTTACCTATCTGAATATTGTCCTTTTTTTTTTATTGAAGAACCTTATAAGCAATGGGAGATAACTCCATAACTATCAGAAATATTTATTCCAACAGACAACAATGGTAGCATATATACATTGAACTTGGATTTACTTGAAATAATGTTTTATTAAGGATAAATTTTTTATATTAAAATTGAATTGATGATACTGATATACAGTAACCATTTTCTTTGAATTAATCAATTGAAAATTAACATCTCAATTGTTATAAATACCTTTAAACTCTGTGCCTACCATTGAATAGTAAATTGACTCTTCATTAGTAACTTGTTACTTGCCCTATAGTTCAGTTGGTAGTGAGAAAAATTAAGATTCCTGTGCCTGTGTTTCCGAGAGTGGACCCAGTCTTGGCTTTCACCCCCTAATACCTAAGAAGTAAGTAGCTTGTGAAGCTGCTTTTGAGGCACTAGTAATGCAATTTGTCCCTGCCTTTACACATATCAATCTTTTGCTGTCTTTACTCTGTGGTTGAACATAATCATGAAAAATATAATTCAAAGGAAATTGATGTTGCTGTTCTGACAATTTCATTTATCATAGATTACGATCTATTGATGTCTATTTATAGTAACATATATTTAGGGGTTTTTCCACTTAATGTATGAATGTAAACAATGAGGTAATAAACAAAGTAACTGATTGCATCATGATCTTTTCACCTGGCTGCTAATTGACCAATCACATACCTAGACTTCTGAACCATTTCACAGGTGTTGTATTCCATTACTTTGATTTGTTGATAAATTCTTGTGTTTGTCCTTCCATGCTTCAGTAAGTCCTTTCAATTGACAACTTTCTTCTTTTCTTTAATTCATATAATTTATTTCATTGATGGATTTCCATCTGCCTTTTATTTGTCAGAGCTAGTCATTTTAATAGTCTTGCGGCTAATAATTTTTTAAATTATTTGTAAAATTTGACTATGATATATTGAACTGCAAAATTGAGCACTTCATACAGCAAAATACAGCACTTCATAATACCAAATCCACAAAGAAAAGAGAGGTACTGGTATATAACCCACTTGATGACATTGGGTGTTCTGAAAGGATCATGTCTAACCTACCATCACATCAGTTAATTCCAGGGACATCTCCTGTATACTGTACGACTGAATTGGAGGGTTATAATTTTAGTGCATCAAATTAAAAAATAGAATTGAGCGCACTTAAAAGGGAAAGTACTGTTGCAAAAAAGAGAACATACTACTTAGATATTATAAATGAAACAGCTTCATAAACAATCTTCCAATGCCAATCAAAAACTGTTTTCAGAAGTGATATTCCTTTTTAGAGAGTCTACATATTATTTAGACAGTTTATATTGAATACCAGTGATAAAATATCATTGCAAATGCACTTTTTTATTTGACAGTACACATTTATAATTTTTTTTTCTTTTGAAAACCACTGGGTTTATTCTCGTTTCATTATCTGTATCATACTAGTTGTGTTATTTAAACTCTCTAATAGCTATACAGCTATATTTGAGCGGGAAACATACCTTTTTTTATATTTCATCTTCTTTGTTGTTAATAGAAATATAAATTTGTTTAGGTTTGACAGCTGTGTGAAAAATGAAACTTCGAATGTCCTGGATATATTTCTTGAACTTGGTGTTTAGAATTTTACTTTTGAAAGATGTTGTCAAGTAAAGAAAGGAGGAAATATTGATTGTTACAGTATAAGGTTTTGTGTTAAATCTTTGACAAAGAATATTCCAAGGACAATCCTGATAATGTGATTGAAAGCATCTATATCAATCACTTACTGTTTGTATTTCTGTTACATTCTGCTGATAGGTAGAAGAATTCCCAGATCACTTTGTGTTCTAGTATTTATATAATTGAGATTTATCTGGACTTCAGTCCGTATCAGAATACAGGAACAAGTTCTTTTCATTTGGTTATCTTTATATCATAGAATCATCACTTAAAGTTATGACTTAAAGAAATTTGTGGTGAAACATTATAAATTTATCAACAGAAAATCTTAAAGTTAAAAAACTTTGAAAGACATTTTGACACTAAGATTATTTAGATAAAATGAAAAAAATCGTGAAATTTATTTTAATTTGTGGTTTGTGTAAATTTGAATTCTAAAAAAATATAACCCTGTCATTTCACTACTTTATGATTTATTAAGTTGACATTTTTACATGTTATGACCTTGTACCTTGACTTGAAATTTCTACCTTGTATTTTAAAGTAAAATGAAGGCTGTGGATTATCTGTTGATGTAAAACTCTGAGTTGTAGTGTTAACACAGAATGATAGTACATTCAAAGTGTTTTGGTAAGAGTAAGCTTGTACTGCCTAGTATACAAGACTAAAAGCTTTGGTTCTTGTCTCAATAGTATACATGAACAAAGTATGTTTTAAGCTGGAATGGAGTGTGTATTAAACAGGTATGTAACCAGTACGACTTTGGTGTTTTGGAAAGTAACAGAATAGTTCGTTAAGAAGCCACTCCTGAAGTTTAAGTACATGTTCACTGCGTACAAAATATCTTGATTTACTTAGTGATAGACTAATTTATTATATTTTATAATTTTATCTCTGGTTTGAGTCATAAAGGATTAAATCAAGGTGAATGGATTATCCAGGATGACTGCAAAGCTTTTAATCTCTTAATCTATGGATTACCTAACTGATAATATTACAGACTAATCCATGATTTCAATTTGGAGGTTTTAGGATTAATTATGACCAGTTGACAACACTTAACATGGTTTTGAAGAAGTTTTCAAGATTTTTGAAGATTTTCAACTATTGTAATGTGTTTCTGAACAAGATTTTATAATTTTTAAAACACTTTTGAAATACTCTAAAATGTGAAATGTTTGTCGTTTGTGGTTAAAAGTGTGTAATAATGGATTATATATAAATAATAAATATATTACCTTAAATGAACTACAACTTGACTGGTAAAATTAAGTAGATCTACATGTATTTTCCAGTTTTTGCAGTTTTTATATATGATCTTTTGGATAAATGTTACCACAAAGATAATAACCAAAACTTTTTACAGATATTGTATCTAATAAGTTTAACCTGTTTGAGGAAACATACAAGTTATATTAAGACAAATTATTGGAAATCTGGATATTATAGATAACAAGGACCCATCTAGATGATTGTGGATTTTTAAAACCCCCTTTGTTCTTCAAAACTTGTGTTTAAAAACTTTTCTTTATTGGATATATTTTCTATGAATTATGATCATAAACAATGTGTACTAGAGTTATTTCAAACAAGCAAAAGTGGAAAGGTAAGAAATAGTTTTGTACTCTTTGTCAGTATCTGTGATACCTGCCACATTGCTTTTTATAGTGGAGCTCAGATTCATTAAAGACTCTGGATTTTTGATGCCAATTCTCTCACAACTCAGTCATAGTTTTCTAAATGTTTATAAATGTATATAGGTGTATATTGACTGTTAATGATGTAAACAACTTGTTTTTATTTACAAATAAACAAGTTAGAGTTAGAACGAGAGTGTATGAACAGTCATTGAACTCTCTATTCTAAACCTTGACAAATATTGATCCTGCCTGACTTTAACTCACTTTCACATAAACACCTGAATTTATTCAAACTTTGAATTTGAATAAACAGAAGTTTTTTTTTTCTAATTTTTTGTTTAAATTTCACACCACAAAGGATCAATTATAAACATATTTCTCTGTCATTATTTGAAAGGTGGAAGAAATATTTCTATTCTAAATCTTTACAGTTGTTAGTTAGATGATTTGCCATGAGTTGATGTTCAAGCATGTAACCTATTTGAATTTTATTTCTTTCCTTGAATGAGTAACTTTCATGAGAGAACCTCAAAGAAGTTACTAATATTTTAATTAAATACTAGAAAATATTGTGTTGTGTATTCCACTGACCACTGACCAGATCAATACTATCCAGTTTGTGTTATTTATTCTCTTATCTTTTGCATCACATACTTTCAAACTTCTTCTCACCCAGTGTGTTTGTGATGGGTTGTTAATGTCCATTCTTCTAAAGGGTTGTTTACTGACCTTGTTGTAAGCCCCACCCCATAATTTATCATGTCTGAAAGCCTCTTTTGTACTGTCTGTGAAAGATAAAATAGTTTCAAACAATCATTTGATAACCTTGTTCAAATACTATCCAAGAATTGTCCTCATTTCAATTCTCCATTATTAAAAGTTAAAGACCACAAAGTAAAAACACTTTTTTGAAAATGATTTCAATAGATCATTATTAATCAGTATTAGAGTTCTCACTTCATTGAAAATCTTGAAACCTTTTATAGTTTTGTGTCATGACCATTTCTTGTCGGAAGGTATATTTGTTGCCCTCATTGAAAGCTCCACCCCTTCTTCTTCAGAACATCTCCTGTACTGTTACTCTCTCACACTGTGTTACCTGTTTCCATTGAAACTCATTAGTATCTATTAAATGTGTGATATCATTTTCGAAAGACCATTAGGGTTTGTTTTGTCAAACTCATTGAAATCCCCCCCCCCCCCCCCC